ATTCAACCTCAGATCCGTCACGGCCCTCGATTCCCAAGCCGCTTCTCGATCTATCCAGAAGACTCCGACTTGACAATCCTCGAATTGTAGAGAGAGAATAAAAAAAAAAACAGAGAAAAAGAGAGAGAGAAACAGAAGGGAGAAATAGAATCGAAGAGAGAGAAAGGGACAGAGAGACGGCAAAAGGAAAGGTGTACTTGGGTACATGGGTAGGGCAGAGCGGGCAGGGAATGGGGACAGATCGGGCACTTTGGGCAGCTCTTAGTGGGTTTTGATAAGGTTACCTGTCTGTCACACGTTAGATATGACGTGTGACCCGTGTGATAGTGGGATTCTGGAAACCGGGACTGGACTAGATTTCGGAAGGGTAAGTGTTGACTGATGGATGTGGGCTGTTTGACTTTGATTTTATATATAAACAATAATCCCTCCACTTGCCCTTAAAATTAGTTTTTCTATCACATTTTAGTCCTTTAGCTTAGTTTATGATTGTTAAAGCCCCTAAACTTGAACTCTAACTCATTTACTTCTCTAATTATAACACATATAATTTTGTGTTGTTGTGAATGTTTTGTTGATCTACTACTTCATCAATTTCAAAATATGATGTATAAGTTCAAATGGATTGGATAAATAGAAAAAAAATCATATTATTAATTTTATAATAATTATTCACCTACTTTTTTAAAAGATAGATGTAGTAAATTAAACAATTTTTATGCCTTTTGGATATCACATTCTTCTCAATAAGCTTAGTAATTGCAAGTTGATGTTTAATTTAAAAGAAGCTAATAAGGCTACAAATTTAATTACAAATAATATCAAAGAGAAAATAAGAGTGAAAAATTGGATCCAAGTAGCTACTTCCTCTTTAGCACATATTTTGGCCACCTATGGTCTTTAACATGCAAAATAGGGTTATGCTACAAGGTGTATAACCTATTTTTCAAATTTTCGACTATACATTTGATATCAACAAAAATTTTGTTTTATTTGTTAAGTGACTGCAATTGAGTTTTGCCTCCCAATTCAAGAGACTAACACTGCAATGGAGTAATGAAGCATTAATGAGATAGTAAAATCATGTACGTTTTAGCTTTAACTTCAGCTCTAAAACAATAAATTGCACAGTTGAAGGACCTTAATTATTATAAAGTAAGTTGGAGGGCTAAAACGTTGAAAAGGAACCAAGCTTAGGGACCAATTTGAATTATTCCTAATTATGACGTGTGCAGGGTGGTATCAATTTTCAACTAGAACCAATCAATATTTGTATTCTACTTTTACTTTATATTTATTTATTTTAATTGGGTCAAGATAATCTCACCTTCGGTCACTTTTGAAAAGGGTAAAAGTGTAATTTTAATATGGCCGGCCGTGACAAATGGAGAAGTTAAGGTTGTCTTGGGTTGTTCCAACACACGTTGCAAATAGTAAGAAAAGGGCGTAGAGGGTGATGTAAAATAAAAAGGGCAATGCTAGGTGCACTCGCTTTTCGCACTCTCCGGTCTACACTTTCTCTTTTATTGGGCCACGTTATCTTGGTTCCCGAGAAGTTGGCCTGAACGCTTTAAAGAAGCTTACGTGGCCCAATGAAAGGGGAAGTGTCGGCCGGAGAGTGCGAAAGGCGAGTGCCCCTAGCATTGCTCAAATAAAAATGGTCTGAATCTGGCAAGAAAATGATTTTTTTTGTTAGTAGGCATGAGGTTTACTGTTGTTTTTATTTTTTAATAAAAATAATCTATATTAATCCGACTTTATGGAGTTTTAATTTAAAACTTTATTTTAAATAAATATTTTGCAAAATTAATAGTTAAATTTAATTTTTTATTTATGTAAATTATGTATTTTAATTTTTAAATTAATTAAATGTATTTAATTAGTTAATTAATTATAAAAAAATAATATATATCAATTTTCACTCATAAAAAATAAGAGTTTTAACGTTATTTTATTTAAATAAAATTTAATTTAAAATTAAAAAATTTACTCTATTAAATGTTGGTATATAAATTTGGAAATATATTAATATATTTTTAAATTTAGATATCGATATTTAATAAAATAGATTTTTAAATTTTAAATTGAGTTTTTTTTTTCCAAATATAGGTGTTAATATCTAAACAGTTGAGTTTCTGAGTTTTGAATTAAATTTTAATTAAATAAAATAACATAATAAAAAATTAAAAATCTATTTTTTAGTCAAAATTGATATATTCTTTCTTCTTATACAAAAATTTAACTTTTTTTAATGGAGTAATTATAAATGATATATCAACTTCAAAGTTTATGTAAATTATTGAATTTAACTATTAATTTTTTAAAATATTTATTAAAGGATAATATTATTTAATTAGAACTATATTCACTATTTTTTTATTTTTTTATTTTTTTATTATAAAGTCATGAAAGCTTTAACCATGTTTGTACTTTTTTCCATTTTGTTTACATTTTCCTTCTATATGTTTCTTATGGCCAAATAGGAAAGGAAAGTGCCTTATAGGGATTACCCTAATTAAGGGGAAAAAAAAAAGATTAATAGATTTCATTTGAATTTAATTTCACCCTAGCTTCCAATCTCATCTGCTCTTCTTGCTTTCCCAAATTGTGAGAGTGAATTGAACCATAATTTTTTTAATGTGAGATTAAACCATAATTTAGGTTCAAGAATTGATGAAATCTTAAATATAATTAAAATAACTTGAACCAAAACACTTGGTGATGGATCAAATTTTTTAAATGGGATTTATATGCCCTCAAAAGTATGACTGGTCTTAATAATTATACAAGGTTAGGTGTCAGGCCTTGCGGGAATTAATTAATATTATTAACATAATATATCGTAATTATATTGTTGATCATAAAAATAGTACATATGATATTAATTTATGTACTTTTCAAGAAAGTAGTATAAAATAAAATCTTTATTGAGGATGGAGAATGACACCTTAGGACCACGG